CACACACACATAGACACACACACACAGAGACACAAACACACACAGACATACACTCACACATAGACGTAGACACATACACATAGACACACACCACACACACACACACACACACACACACACACATAGATGCCACCTTTATTCTTGCAGATATTCCCGTCTCGGTAATTCTCTCTCTCCCCGCCCTTTGTCTGCTGGGGAAAACCTTTACACTCGTGCTTGACTCTTTTCCTCTCTGCCTAAAATCTGCCGGAAAAGGGTGCTGTTTCCATGTTGGAAATACACCCAGAGCCCCCTGACGCCACCTTCCTGGCTTGGCCACCGTCTCGTCTCTCAGGCGTGGCGCTGCAGTAGCCTCCTACCTGCACCTGCTTCCCGCTGCTGCTTCCATCCTCGTCCCCACGAGTCTCTTCGGAGCAGTCAGCCACGGGCCGGGCCGTCTGAGAAGCATTAGTCAGGTCATGTCCCTCCGCAGTTGGTGTCTCTAGAATAACAGCCGACCCTACCGTGGCCTGGGGGGGTGGAGGGGAGGGGCCTCGACCTCCTTACCCCTCCTTAACGCTGACTCCCCCTCCTGTCTCCCCGCGGCTCCCTCTGCTCCAGCGCGGCCTGCTCACCGCCCCCTCTAACCACTGAACCACACCGGCCAGGGCTGTGTGTGCTTTTTCATCATCCAAAATCACCAGACCCATCAGTTCTGTATTTCTCTTCCTGTAGAAAAGGAACCAAGTGTGCCACAACCAGAATGAGTGTGGTAGAGGCATCTCCGAGCAGTTCTGTAGCTAACGCACAGGGAGGCCGTGGGCGCACACGCCCGCCAGTACCCGAGACCCCCATGGAGGAGGCGCAGGGATCCCTAAGGCGCTGGCGGACTTCATCCCTGGCTTAGCGACTTCCTGGCGGAAAGCGGTGGTCGCAGCAGAAAAATATGCTTCACTAAATTAAATAGATAATCTGCCGTCAAATCAGAAAATAGCCAATTACGGGAGAACAATCTGTTTAAAATAGAAAAGTAATGTTGCAGGTGACACCATCCCGCGTCATGCTGGTATTGAGTCCCTCGCCGTTGATAGTTGAGGGACACTCAGAGTTCCTCCTTCATGGACAGCGTTCCTCCTTCATGGACACGCAGAGTTCCTCCGTTCCCTGTGCGGCCATGTGCACCAGCTACGGGCGGACAGCGCGCTGCGTTCAGGACACAGACACGGGAATGGAGGGCGTGCGAAGGGTGCGCAGGGCGGTCTGAGGGGCTGGCCCACCTGACCCTCACTCTGCAGCTTCTCGCAGACAGCCTGCCTGCGACACAGCAGCCACCTCCTCCCCTGTTGCGAAGGGTGCGCAGGGCGGTCTGAGGGGCTGGCCCACCTGACCCTCACTCTGCAGCTTCTCGCAGACAGCCTGCGGCACAGCAGCCACCTCCTCCCCTGTTGCCCGGCACACTCCCTGCCCTTCTCGGCATGTTGGGTGCACTCGGGGCAAGATTTAGTAAAGGGTCCCTGAGGAGGTCAGGACGTGATCGCCAGCATGAAATCTCCCGATTATATAAACGCCTCCTCACTCCACACTTGAAATATCTCATGTCATCCCTGATCATTGCATAGCTCGTGACATGTAGCAGACCTTTTCCCAGGAATCCACACGCTCCAGTTTGCTCACCTTAGCAACCTCAGACCGAGTATTTCCCTCTAAATGTATTCCACGGGTAACTTTTCTCCCGTCAGTGCCACATATGTACACGCCATCCGCATGTTTGCAAGGGGACTTGACAGCCATCTTTCTTTCACTCTGGGGCCAGGAAGATGAGAAAATGGATAGCAGGCCCGATTCTAACACCTTCCCTCCCCACTCTCCATGCACCAAGACTTTTAAATGTACCCACAACCCACATGTTCTCCCAACTCCAAATTCACATAGCCAAGTCGCCACTCCACGTTTTTTACTTAGCTGTGTAAGAGGTTATCAAACTGGATATGAGCAGAAGTCCCTCCCCCAACTTCACACACACATAGACACACACACACATAGACACACACACACAGAGACACAAACACACACAGACATACACTCACACATAGACGTAGACACATACACATAGACACACACCACACACACACACACACACACACACACACACATAGATGCCACCTTTATTCTTGCAGATATTCCCGTCTCGGTAATTCTCTCTCTCCCCGCCCTTTGTCTGCTGGGGAAAACCTTTACACTCGTGCTTGACTCTTTTCCTCTCTGCCTAAAATCTGCCGGAAAAGGGTGCTGTTTCCATGTTGGAAATACACCCAGAGCCCCCTGACGCCACCTTCCTGGCTTGGCCACCGTCTCGTCTCTCAGGCGTGGCGCTGCAGTAGCCTCCTACCTGCACCTGCTTCCCGCTGCTGCTTCCATCCTCGTCCCCACGAGTCTCTTCGGAGCAGTCAGCCACGGGCCGGGCCGTCTGAGAAGCATTAGTCAGGTCATGTCCCTCCGCAGTTGGTGTCTCTAGAATAACAGCCGACCCTACCGTGGCCTGGGGGGGTGGAGGGGAGGGGCCTCGACCTCCTTACCCCTCCTTAACGCTGACTCCCCCTCCTGTCTCCCCGCGGCTCCCTCTGCTCCAGCGCGGCCTGCTCACCGCCCCTCAGAGGACCAGGCAGGGCCTTGGCCTTTGTACCGCGATGCCCTTCCCCAGGGCCGCGTGGCTTTTCTCATCTCCCAGCCTCGGTGGTGCTCGCTGAGCCTGGTCTGTG